ACCAAAAGCTGACTAAAACTTCATTAAGAATAATGGTAATGTAGTACTCAATTGAGAGAGACTAGAATACCAAATAATCGTTTCTTTCCAGTTATTGCGTATGTAAGACATCTCCTTAAATCTCTCAGGGAGTCATTTTTAAGTGTCTACACTGAAATTGAATGCTAACTGTTAGAGATTGAATTGTGTCCCCCAAAAACGTGTATCAACTTGGCTAGGCCGTGATTCCTAGTATTGTGTGGTTGTCTACCATTTTGTGATCTGATATGATTATCCTATGTGTTGTAAATCCAGTGGTTAATAGCTTGGCTGCTAACCAAAAAGGTCGGCAGTTTGAATCCACCAGCCACTCCTTGGAAACCCTGTGGGACAGTTCTACTCTGTCCTATAGGGTCGCTATGAGTTGGAATCCACTGGACAGCAGTGAGTTTTTTGTTGTTGTTATGTTAATGAGGCAGGAGTAGAGGCTGTTATGTTAATGAGTCAGCACAGAATCTATAGAATTAGGTTGTATTGTCAGTCAGTCTCTTCTGAGAAATAAAAGAGAAAATCAAGCAGAGAGGAGGGGAACCTCATGCCACCAAGAAAGAAGCACCAGAAGCAGAGCATGTCCTTTAGACCCAGGGTCCCTATGCTGAGAAACTCCTAGACCAGGAAAGAATTATGACAAGGACCTTCCCCCAGAGCCGACAGAGAGAGAAAGCCTCCCCCTGGAGCTGGCACCCTGAATTCGGACTTCTAGCCTTTTAGACTCTGAGAGAATAAATTTGTCTTTGTTAAAGCCATCCATGTGTGGTATTTCTGTTACAGCAGCACTAGATAACTAAGACACTATCTGAGGGCGGAGGAAAAACCTAGAAGGAATACATAAACTATAATAAATGCCTACTTTGTATACCCATTATAAGTATTTTTGACTACTATCCCCAGTAATTTTAACTTAAACTTTCTTACTTGTTAAAGAGTTAATCTCAATGTCACAAAGTTTGCTATAATAACATAGACCTCCTGTCTCTGAGAAGTTTGCTTACTCTGTATCCTCTAGATCTGTGCTTTCCAACAGAGTAGCCACTAGCCACATGTGGCTATTTAAATTTAAATTAAGTATAATAAAATTAAACTAAGTTCCTCAGGTGCTCAGCAACAACTTGTGATTAGTGGCTATTATGTGGGGTAGTGCAGATATATTTTCAGTATCCCAGAGAGTTCTGTTGTATAGCACTGATCTTGAGGCTAGCATTTTTTTCATATTCATGGGAAAAATTTAATTTTATACTTTATACTATGTAAGTATTCATTGTCAAAAAGAATATTTCAAGATCTATCCTGAAGTACAATGCTGTCAGTAATAGGATACTATCCATACGTCTACAAGGAAGACCAGTTAATACAACTATTATTCAAATTTACGTACAACCACTAAGGCCAAAGATGAAAAAATTGAAGATTTTTACCAACTTCTGCAGTCTGAAATTGATCAAACATGCAATCAGGTTGCATTGACGATTATTGGTGATTGGAATGTGAAAGTTGGAAATGAAGAAGGATCGGTGGTTGGAAAATATGGCCTTGGTGATGGAAACGACACCAGAGATTGCATGTTAGAATTTTGCAAGACCAATGACCCATTCACTGGAAATAACTTTTTTCGACAATATGAACAGTGACTGTACACATGGGCCTCACCAGATGGAATACACAGGAATCAAATCGACTACATGTGTGGAAAAAGAAGCCCAATATCATCAGTCAGAACAAGGGCAGGGGCTGGCTGTGGAACAGACCATCAATTGTCCTTATGCAAGTTCAAGTTGAAGCTGAAGAAAATTATAACAAATACACGAGAACCAAAGCACAACTTTGACTACACCCCACCTGAATTTAGAGACCATATCAAAAATAAATTTGATGCACTGAACAGTGACTGAAGACCAGACAAGTTGTGGGATGACATCAAGGACTCAATATGTGAAGAAACCAAAATGTCATTAAAAAGACAGTAAAGAAAGAAAAGACCAAAATGTTAGAAGAGGCTCAAACTTGCTCTTCAATGTAGAGTGGCTAAAGTGAACTGAAGAAATGATCAAGTAAAAGAACTGAACAGAATATTTCAAAGGGCAGCTTGAGAAGACAAAGTAAAGCATTATAATGAAATGTGCAAAGACCTGGAGTTAGAAAACCAAAAGGGAAGAATATGCTCGGCATTTCTCAAGCTGAAAGAATTGAAGAAGAAATTCAAGCTTCAAGTTGCAATGTGGAAGGATTCTACAGGCAAAATATTGAACTATGCAGGAAGCATCCAAAGAAGATGGAAGGAATTCACAGAGTCACTTTACCAAGAAGAACTGGTCGACGTTCAGCCATTTCAGAAGGTAGCATATGATCAAGAACTGATAGTATTGAAGGATGGCATCCAGGCTGCACTGAAGGCACGAAAAACAAGCCTCCAGAAATTGATGAAATACCAATTGAGATGATTCAGCAAACACATGCAACTTTGGAAGTGCTCACTCTTCTATGCCATGAAATTTGGAAGACAGCTACCTGGCCAACCAACTGGAAGAGATCCATATTTGCACCCATTCCAAAGAAAAGTGATCCAACAGAATGCGGAAGTTATCAGATAATATCATTGAAATGTCACACTCAAGTTCAAAAACAGTTACAGCAATACATCAACAGGGTACTGGCAGAAATTCAAGCTGGATTCAGAAGAGGATGTGAAATAAGAGATATCATTGCCAACATCAGATGGATCTTGGCTGAAAGCAGAGAATACTAGAAGGATGTTTACCTGTGTTTTATTGACTATACCAAACGCATTGGACTGTGTGGATCATAACAAACTATGGATAGCATTATGAAGAATGGGAATTCCAGAACACTTAATTGTGCTCATGTGCAACCTGTACCTAGACCAGGAGGCAGTGGTTCAAACAGACAAGGGGATACTGTGGTTTAAAGTCAGGAAAGGTGTATGTCAGGGTTGTATCCTTTCATTATACTTATCCAGGCTATATGCTGAGCAAATAATCTCAGAAACTGGACTATATGAAGATGAACACTGCATCAGGGTTAGGGAAAGACTCATTAATAGCTGGCGATATGCAGATGACACAACCTTGCTTGCCGAAAGTGAAGAGGACTTGAAGCACTTGCTTATGAAGATCAAAGACTACAGCCTTCAGTGTGGATTACACCTCAACATAAAGAGAGCAAAAGTCGTTACAGTTGGACCAATAAGCAACATCATGATAAACAGAGAAAATACTGAAATTGTCAAGGATTTCATTTTACTTGGATCCACAATCAACACCCATGGAAGCAGCAGTCAAGAAACTAAACGATGTATTGCATAGGGCAGATCTGCTGCAAAAGACCTCTTTAAAGTGTTAAATAGCAAAGATTTTGAGGACTAAGTTGCGCCTGACCCAAGCTGTGATATTTTCAGTTACCTCATATGCATGCGAAAGCTAGACAATAAATAAGGAAGACCGAAAAAGAATCGAATTATGGTGTTGGTGAAAGATACTGAATATACTATAGACTGCCAGAAGATTGAATGAAATCTGTCTCCGAAGAAGTATAACCAGAATCCTCCTTAGGAGTGAGGATGGCGAAACTTTGTCTCATGTACTTTGGACATGTTATCAGGAGGGACCAGTTCCTGGAGATGGGTGTTACGCTTGGTAGAGGGTCAGCGAATAGGAGGAAGACTGAACGAGATGGATTGATGCAGTGGCTGCAACAATGGTCTCAAACATAGCAACAATTTTGAGGATAGCGCAGGACCAGGCTGTGTTTTCTCGGTTGTACATGGGGTCAGAGCCAACTCGATGGCACCTACCTAATACCAACTACATAAGTGCTTTACCGACAACCAGTCTGGTCTGGGGCTAGAAAGACAAGCTGTCAGTTGAGTGTGTTGCGTTGCTGTATACTATGGAGTTATGTAGAGCAGTTGGATTAGGAAAGGCTGTGCTGTGAGATCACCATGAAGTCTGGACTTGGAAATGCTGACAGAGCCAGTCTGGTGATTCAGGAGCACTTTATGCCCCTCTTAATGGGAGGCGGAGTGTTGAATGGTTAAGAGTCTGGACTTCAAGGTGTTTAGGATGGGACTGGGTCCCTGGGTGGTACAAACAATTAAGAACTCCACTACTAGCCGAAAGGTTGGCAGTTTGAATCCACCCAGTGGCACCTTGGGAGACAGGCCTGGTGATCTGCTTCCAAATGGCCACAGCCTTGAAAATCCTACGGAGCAGATCTGCTCCGTACACATGGGGTCACCATGCGTTGGAATCGACTTGATGGCTACTAACTACACCAGCATAGCTTGGTAACCTTGGGCAAAATACGTAAGTTTTTTGGAACCTGTTTTTTCATCTGTGGAGCAGGAATTAAATACTTCCTATGGTTGTTGTGAGGATTAGATTAGGTAAAGTAAGTGGAATAAAGAATGTTGTATACTTAGCACAGTGCCAGATACACTGTAAGCATGTGGTCAATGGTAGTTTTTTTAATATTCATAGTAGTAATAATGGTGCTTATTATTCTTGGTAATGCCAGTTCTTCTTTCCCTGGTTTGTGCTTCTTTTTTCTTCTCTGTCTCCCTTTCTTTGCCCAGTTTCTATTGTCCTTTATTCCTGTCTCTTCTGTCTTTTTCTTTTGTCTCGAGGGTCCCAGATAACTGTTAGTGATACCAGTGGATAAAGAATTCCTTGTTCCCTAGTTGCTGTGCTACCGTGTATAGCAGGAAATAATTGCTATCAAAATGAAACCAAACCCTGTAAGAAGTCACATAAACATAGCTCTTTTGACGAATATTTGTGAGGAAGCCTGGCGTATCTGGGGCTGAGGGACAACTTGGAGATAATTGACCAGTAGAGGTGGGGTCCATGAACTTCCCCTCATTAGCGTCCACCTGTAACTGATTTGCAAACTATCGTGAGACTCATAACTGGAGGATCTCTGGTAATTACACATCTTCATTTATGTAGCAACAAAGGAGAGAGCGTGAAGCTAGAAGGCAGCAGGAACGTGAACAGCGAAAGAGAGAACAAGAAGAGAAGAGGCGCCTGGAGGATTTGGAGAGAAGACGGGCAGACGAAGAAAAGAGGAGAGTCGAAAGAGAACAGGTTAGTTCACAGAGAACGCTCCAACCTGTTTGTGAGATTCGTTATTCTGTGTACACACACACACACACAAACACACACGCAGGACTTTGGAGGTTTAACAATGTGGAAACACACAGTTGGAAGCGCAATAAATTGGTTTCTTGTCTTAAAAAATATATAAATCATTATACTTTAGAAACCTCTTGAAACCAACAAAGTCATGTCCTAATAGTACAATACCCAAAAGGCACCTGAATATATCTTCTAGACATATTAACTATTAAATGCCGTGAACCCCAAATATCAGGATAGTAATTGATTTTGTTACTAACTATAAGGAATTTCCCATGAGAAAAGTTTGAAATAATCCAATGGCTAATTGAATATTGTAATATATATTTGCATACATTTCAGTGTGTACATATACAGCATTATGAAAACTAGTAACATTTCTGTATTATGTTCAGCCATTAATGTCCAGGTTTCAGTAACATTTATAACATTTTATTAATGCCACATATAGTTTTATTTAGAAATTTTCTTTGTTTCCTGAGCAACCTATGCAAACAAAAACTGACTATGCCTACGTTTGTGTATATTGTTGGTATGATTCCGGTCACTAACCGCTTTGCCTTTTATGTCTTTGAATTGATCACTCTTTGTTATGAGTTTTGATTAGGGGAAAAAAGGTGAATGAGGACTAATTTAAAGCATATTTGAAGTTCATATTGAAAATACTTATAAACCATGGTGTCAGCTTCCAGTTTGATTACTCAGCTATTGCCTTAGATTTTCTGAGACTGGGTTTGTGTACATGTGTGATTATATTCTGTACTTGCATTGACTGTATGTTAGAGTCTTCGTGATTTGGATAGGATGTGATTTTTCTAGTTGTGGCATGAAGGCAGAAAACAAATGAGTGTTCTAACTCTATCTTTCAAGTTATGGTTTAATTCTACTTAGTTCGAAGAAGAAGTGAGCTTGGAGTCAAATTCCTTCGCATAGTAATCGTTGGGTAAGGCCATTGTGAAGGCAGTTACTGCTGTAGCGTGTGCTGTGGAGGCTTAGGGTTAAATGAATGGGACTTGGAACCCAGGTCAGAAGGAGGGTACTTCTTCCAAGGTAAGCTTCTCCCAAATTGGTTTTTTGGCTAAATTTGCTTTGTAGGATACAAGTTCCTAAGAAAATTTATATGCCATAATTTCTCTGTCATCTAGCATGAGAGTTACTGGTTAAGTCAAACTTCTGCTCAACCCATATAGATGACTGTTTTTTTATTTTAAAGACGTGCTACAATACAAGTGGATGGTCAGTAGTAGACACTCCAGAAAAAATCCTCTAATTTTCAGGGTAAAATTTCACCTCACTGACCCTTTAATTTACTCCTTTTCTAGAACAGTCATTTAACTTTTTTCGTCATTGAAAAGGAAGACTCTGTTGCTTATAAAATGTTCCAAACTTTTCAAAGTTATTTCCTATCTGATGTCTGAGCCTCACAAAAACAAAAACAAAAAAACGGAGCGTTGGGAGAAGAGGTTCTTGGTACTCATTTCTCAGATGCGGAGACTGAGAAAATGGGAGGTTAAGGGCTTGCTGGAGATCATAAAGCTGTTGCTTGATGGGATTGAGATTACAACCCAGGTCTCCTGATTGTCCCTGTCCATTGATAAAGCAGGCAAATTCAAGGCAGTATTCTTACCCCTCTGCATGACATATATTGGAAAGGTTGACTGGTTCTCCTTGTTACGGAGGTTGTTCATCCTCTTCCCATTGAAAACCACCACCACCATTCCTCCCCAAGGACACATGGCCTCATCATGAAGAGCCTGAGCCTGTTCATTTATGGGAAGCTTTCCAAGTCTGGTGTTCCCAGACTATGGCTTTAAAATATGGCCAATCCAGGTACCTTCTGAATCAGAGAAAGTACAAATCATGTTTATTTTTATTTTAATATTATACAGGTTTTTGTTTTAAATATCAAAAAATAGATGATCTGTGCTTGGTATAAATAATAATGAGTAATTAGACATTTATCAATCAGAACCCTCTGGTTTCCTATTTAATTAAACTTGATTTCTCTGAAGTCTACCATCCTTAAGAGGAACAGCATGCTCCTTTAAAATCCTGCATTTGTATATAAAGTCGTGTTCTGACAAATACTTTCAGATGCCTTCATGTGTATCATTGAAGTGCGTGTCATCATTCATTAGACTCTTTAGGTCTTTTTGGCCAATTTCAAGGCTTTGGAAAAGTCCTTAGCAATAGATTTTTTTTCTTTTAAGGTACAGTTAGGCAGTCCCCGGGTTACGAACGTCAGACTTGCGGACAACTCAAATTTAAGAACAAACTGCCATAAAGCCTATTATATTAAAAATTTGGGCTTCAGACATGCAATGGTTCTTAATAACGAATGCACGCACGACTTTGTGATGCTCGTGAAAATATTACCTGGCTTAGAAGTGTTTCTTAAGTGTCTTATATACCTAGAAAGGTAGACTATATACTAAGACAAACATTTGAATCTAAATAAGAAGCGTACGTACCTGTTCTGACTTACCTACAGATTCGACTTAAAGATAGACTTGGGAATGCATCTCATTAGTAACCCCAGGGACTGCCTGTATTCATCACTAATGAATTACCACCAAGGATGATTGGGGCGAGTGGTTCTTGGTGCTCTGTTCTAGTGGTTCTGATGGTTTCCTTTTGGATGAATTGATTGCTGGGTGATCTCTGTGTGGCAGGAGTATATCAGGCGACAGCTGGAAGAGGAGCAGCGGCACCTGGAAATGCTTCAGCAGCAGCTGCTCCAGGAGCAGGCCATGTTACTGGTAACGCACCGCGTCTGTCTTCTTCTGTAGTGGGAGGGCTCCCGCGTCCCTTCCCTGAGCTGGGCACAGCAGTGGTAATCACCAGGCCATTTTGGTTAGCGCTGTGGCCTGACAGGCTCCAGTGGAGACATCCCTTACTACTTCTGGGCAACTTGAGAGGTGGCTTTTATTTATCTGCTTATTTTCTGTTAATACGTTAACTGTTCTCATTTGGTAGCTGGGCAAACTTCTGAACTTGTCACTCAGTGAACAAACTAGAACGCTCGGGGCCGTACATTCAGAGCACGTGCCATATAGTAAAACTTCATCGGGAACACTAGTTTAGGATTTTTACCTAGTGTACTAGAATGATCTCTTGCCACTGAAACTGACCTTTAATTGAATTCTCTTTTACTCTGTTCAGTGATTATTATCTTTAGCAACAAGCTGTCAGATTTTTCCACAGGTAACATGCTATTTAAAATCCCAGCCGTTTTGCTTTATTAAAAAGCAAGGGGAAAAGAGTATGATCTTTAAAAAAAAAAAAAAATTTGAGAACAAATACAGAGAAGGAGGCGAGCTCTCCATTGTCCCATAGATTTAGTGTTATCCTCTCCCTCTCAAAGGAGTTTCGATGGCGGGAGATGGAGGAGCACCAGCAGGCCGAGAGGCTCCAGAGACAGTTGCAACAAGAACAAGCATATCTCCTGTCTCTACAGCATGACCACAGGAGGCCGCTCCCGCAGCCGCACCCACACCCGCAGCCGCAGCCGCCACAGCCGCCGCAGGAGAGAAGCAAGCCCAGTTATCACGCTCCAGAGCCCAAGCCCCATTATGAGCCTGCTGACAGAGCTCGAGAGGTAGCCTCTTGCCTTTGATGCTTAGCCGTTGGTCCTGCCTGGGTTCTTCTCTGGAAAGTCATATAATGACTCTTAAGAATTGTATGATATGCATACTAGAATGGGACGCAGAGATCAGCTAAGGATCCACCCTCTCTGTTTTCTAGCTTTGTCTTTGGTTTCAGAGAAGTGGAGGGGCTTGCCTGGGGTCTTATGTCTCATAGGGTTTTTTCCATAGAGGATCTCAGGGCCTCAGTTAACAAATCTCAAACGAATTGGAAACTAAATGGAAGAATGTTTTGCAGAATCATTCTCAAAAATGTAAATAAAGGGAATGCTCAACTATTTTTCCAAAAATAGGATGAGGATGAAGTGTGCCTATAGTCCAATTTACTGACTCTCCAACTCTTGTGATTAGTTATTTACATGGTGCATTCGGGCTACCCAGAGCCTCAGACTAACAAGGCCATGGCAAAGCAGTAACTGTTCAAAGATAAGATCCAAACCAAAAACACCAAACCCAGTTGATTCCGACTCATAGTGACCCTGTAGGACAGAGTAGAACTGCCCCACAGAGTTTCCAAGGCTATAATCTTTACGGACGCCAACTGCCACATCTTTCTCCTGCAGAGCAACTGGTGGGTTCAAACTGCTGACCTTCAGGTTAGCAGTAGGACATTTAACTGCTGAGTCACCAGGGCTCCTTTTCTAGGAAGATTAGGGGGCTGATATGCTTCCAGAATATGTTGAATCCTGCCCAGTAGGTGGCGTCCTTCCACTGTGTCTAACCCTCACAGAGAGTGGATTCTAGGAAAAAGTTTTGCTTGCTCTGGAGTGGCTTTATTTTTGGTGGAATGAAATGCGTTTTGGATTTCAGATGATAGTTTTTTAATCCGTTAGGTTAGCTGGTTGTGACAGGTTCATTTCTTTCCAGTGTAAAATTGTACACCACCAGAATTTTGGACCAGGAGGCGATCGTAGAGGCTGCCTGCTGAATTTTATCTTCTCAAGTATTTCCTTTTCCGGAGTCACATTGCAGTCTCGCTTTATCTGCCGTCTCCCCTACCCCCTTCCCCCAGCTGTGCTTTTCTTGTAGCCGAAGTCAAACAGAAATGTTTTTATTTAGAGTCCTTTCACCTTCAGGCTTTGGTGTCGCTGCCGTCCCTACTAACAGTGAGTTATGTCTTCTAATTTTCTGATGCAGGTGGAAGATAGATTTAGGAAAACTAACCAGAGCTCCCCTGAAGCCCAGTCTAAGCAGACAGGCAGAGTTTTGGAGCCTCCCGTGCCTTCCAGATCAGAGTCTTTTTCCAATGGCAACTCCGAGTCTGTCCATCCCGCCCTGCAGAGACCAGCGGAGCCACAGGTAGCAACAGACAGTTCTGCCATGGGTGGAGGAGACTTCCGTGACGGCTCGTGCAGCCCCGGACCTGCTCGTGTTAGCAACAGTTTGCTTCATTCTGCGTTTTAGAAAGAGATTTGCAGTAGTCATTTTAGACTCATTGGAAGAGGACATGCCTTCAGTTGATAGGGGAAAGGAGGACTTTTATTTGCTGTATTCGTTGAGAATATCTTGATTCGGTGCTTTCCTTTCCCGGCATAGCATTTTACCTTCTCTAACTCAGGTTAATTTTAATCAATAAGTGCCTCCTTATCCTATACAAAGATATTTTAGTTTCGTTTTTAGAAAGTTAGTGTTATCAGTAAACGGAGGGAGAACCAGAGCTTCGTTATTATTTCAACACGCCTTTTCTCCTGCTCGTTTTAAAATAGGGTCTTTAATTCATCTACCATCCCTGGCTCCTGGCCAGTTCCACGAGTGGGCTTCCGAGAGTCTATAACTCCCCTGAAATTTCATGCAGAGTTTTTTGGTTTGTTGCAGTGTGCATAATTTCAAGATCCAAAAAAAGGTTAAGCTCTAGTAGGTTAGTACTAGCTTGCCCTGAAGTAGGTCAGGGTGAAGATGAGGACTTGTCATTGGGTCTGTACCAGCATTCTGCCTTGTCTAGGTGAGGGAGAGCTGTTGGGCAGTATGTTGTACGGTTAGAAGAGAACCCTCTGCTCTCTAGAGAAGAGAGTAGACGTAGATCACCCATGTTAAAAAATCTCAGAGACCCTTAAAAGATGACTCCTGCTCTCTTTCTGAGAATAGTTAACTTTTAGACATTTTTCTTCTTGCAGCTATGTAATCTAGACTCTGGGGACCAAGTTCTTAAGCTCAAACCACTTGTCCCTGGTGTGTGTATGTGTTGGGGGATTAGAGTTCATGTTTCTGTGATAGAAGTAGCTGTGGTGTCTGAAAAACAAACTCAAATGAGAAGGTGAAGGCACTTCCTAGTAACTAATCCCTTTGGGCCTGTAAGATATGAGTTGAGGAACCACAGCATTGGGGAGTTAAGAAAAAGAAGAATGAGTATTGAAGCAAAGGGTTTGTATGCTGGGTGCAGAGAGGATTACTCGATGAGATCAACAGCGTTTTCAGTCTAGAGAAGAGCTGGCCCCTCAGCAAATTGGCAACCCCACAGAGTAAAGAATGAAAGGAAAGCCAGAGAAGGGAAGCGAAGAGGGACTAGTTGGATAGATTTGACAATACTTATTCTGTAACAGTGTTATACTGGCTCCCAGTATAGATATATTTGGAGATTCCAGAATCCAAGTTTTTGTTCTGAAAGTTAAACTTAACCATATAGAAGATCTTTGTCTATCTGACCACTGACAAACAGTTTGAAAATAGGAGTCCCTGGATTCTGTAGACTTAATTTTTATAGTCATGACTGATTAACGTAGTATCTGAAAGTGGTCTCCCTTTTCCTCCTTCTGGTCTAAAGTTGCTTTTGACTAAAACATACACCTATGAAAGCGTTCTTTGGAGGAAAGTTTTCTCTTAAAGGGCTATTTGCTTTAGCACCCATTTTTTAAAGTTATAATTGCGGGTAATACTTTAAATTACATGCCTTTCCCTCTGAAAAATCGTAAACAGTTTAGAAGCCTGGGATTATGTGAATCTCACCTGTAAAATAGCTGAGTCTTGCATTTGGAAAAGTCAAACCAGGTGTGATCTGATGTTTTCTGTTTGCATTAAATACATTGATGTATTAGATGTGTAGCTAGAATTATGTACATTACAGCACTAAACTATTGAAAACAGTATATAACTTAAAGAAAGTGTTTTATAGATTATTTCAGAGATTGTTTTCCAAATTTAAAAGCAACTGGATAAACTCAGTTGATAAGTAATTGTCATGCTTCTTGAATTTTCAAAGAAGAGAGATACCCCAACAGCAGTCACTTAAGGGGATCCATGGTACGGAATATTTCTAAAGAAATCACATTTCTTTTTTTTTTTGTAACTAGTATGAAGATGTATGGAGGTAACTCAAAAGGTTATGGTTTTAAGGCTTGGGAGAGGGAAGGAAATTTTGTTGGTGTATTTAAAAATTTGAATGTTTTTAAGTTATATTGTTACAGTCTATCAAAACATTAAGAGGTTTGTCTTTGCTTGTTAAATGTGCTGTTTTGTTGTTACTTGGCCTGAAATCTTGAACTGCCAGGTAATGTGAAGATGGATGGATAGGTTTGCATGTTTGGCAGAGTCCTTCATCCTGTGATCTCTCAACCTTTTTTTGCCTCTCCTTTGCCTCTGCTTTGACGTAGATATGCATGTAACACTTGGTCTGCCCTTTAGGACAGTAGGTCTAGAAAGCTCTTTTTAAACAGTCTTCATGTTTCCTGCTGTCTGTGTATGTTTGTCTAGATATTAGAAGAGTTTTCCTTGTAAATGTATGTTTGTTCTTTTCTACATATTGTGTTCCCCCAAATGACTTCTTCACTGAAAAGTGTAACTGTTTTACTGCTTGCTTACCTAATACTGTCCCACCCCTAGATTGCGTCCCCCTTTGCCAGTTCCTGCTCTGGATTCAGTGTTGACCAGAAAAACCGGTTTGATGCCTTGAATGTCTTGTGTTTTGTTTTCTCGTAAGGTACAGTGGTCCCACCTGGCATCTCTCAGGAGCAATGTTTCCCCTGTCTCGCGATCCCATTCCTTCAGTGACCCTTCTCCTCCCAAATTTGCACACCACCATCTTCGCTCTCAGGACCCATGTCCACCTTCACGCAGTGAGGTGCTAAGTCAGAGTTCCGACTCTAAGTCGGAAGCACCCGACCCCACCCAAAAGGCTTGGTCTAGATCAGACAGTGACGAGGTGCCTCCAAGGGTAAGAAGCAGAAAGACAGACGTGTGCTTCTTTTTCTTTTTATTTATTATTATTTTTTAATTTTCTGTTTTAATTAATGGTATGATGACTTCACCAGAATTAAAGGGGTAGTGAAATTTCAAAGGAACTTTTTACGGTGGGGAGAAAGTTCCACAGTTAGGTATATTCAGCCAGTGGGCAATTACCTTCTTATCATTCTTGTTCACAATATACTTAAACAGGAGGTAGCAAAATGATGGAACAGTAAATTTGTAACAAGTATACTTCTAGACCAAATTGAGTCATAATTTACTTTAGCGGCTGCTAAGGTTACACCGAAGCAACAAATTATTTTGCAACACTAACCAATATCAAAATGTTCCGGAAAGGTTTATAAGAAAAAAACTAAATGTTTCAAAGAAAATGATTTTTTTTTTTTTTTTAGTTTTTTTGTTCTGGGGGGGATGTAATTATTTACTGGTGAAATTAAACAAAAACACATTTTAGTTTGTTTTTCTTCCACTTGGAATTTGCTTCCTCTGACTATTTTCTTGCTTCTTGCCAGTCTTTGCCCCCTGCTGATCCATTTGTAGATCATCGTTTGGTCCCTTGAGCTGATTTTCCTGGTTCTTACCTTATCATAGCAAAATGCTTTGTATGTCCCCTGCCACCAAGCTTCAGTCCAAACATTTCAGTGTTACCGAAGCCTAGAAAGGCTGTTTGTACTGGCTTCTCACACGCCTTTGATGAAATTTTCTCTTTTCATCATAGCCATGAAGGGCCAGAGAAGGATCAGGGATGGGAGTGGGTTGGTGATAGTAAGGCTGACATAATTAGGACTGCTTTAAAAGTATGTTTTGGTGGGGGAATCTTTTTTTCTCCTCATGTTTTCAGTAATTTAATTGTTGTATTTTCTACCTGAAGGTTCCTGTGAGAACGACATCTCGCTCCCCGGTTCTGTCCCGTCGAGATTCTCCACTGCAGGGCAGTGGACAGCAAAACAGCCAAGCAGGTCAACGAAACTCCACAAGGTAAAAGAAGAGTGAAAATTAAGAACAAGTCTACTGGGTTGTCTCCTGTAGTCTTACGTCTTCTGTTTTTGCAGCAGTGCTCATGAGCATTGAAGTTCTGGGGCAAAGAGATTATCAGTTGGGAAAGAAAAACTACCATAAAATTCATTGGCATGAGTAACATCAAATCGATGTATAGAAGAAGAGGGTCTGAATTTAGTTGGTGTACATTAGTAATTTTAAAACGAAAACTACCAGCCCCTATGTAAGAATAAGTAGAGGGAACAGCAAGGAAGAGAAAATAGTTGTAAGAGAATTTTAATTTGAGGGCCCTTATTATTTAACAGCTTGCTTAAGTCTTGGGAATGGTATAGAAATCACAGGTGAATGAACAAAGTCAGTGGTTGACAGTCTGCAATAAACTAGCGAATTAACCAGATCATAGCATTTTTAGGTTCTAGAGCTGCTGTGTCCTTTACAGCAGCCATTAGCCACTTGGGGCTATTTAAATATGAATTTAACTTGAGTAAAATTACATGAAATAAAAATTCATTTCCTTAGTGGGACGAGCCACTTTTCAAGTGCTCAGCAACTTCCTGTAGTTAGTTGATGGCTGCCGTATCGTGCAGGACAGGTAATAGAACACAGAAGAAGAAAAGGTCTTTATGTTGAATGTTTATAACTTGAGCGTCACTGAACATCCCAAGTTAGATGTCTGCACATTGAACCTTGGTCTAATTTGGAGTAGTAAGATGGATGATAATCCAGAAACTACAGAGAACCCTCTTATTCCTTAAGTGATCAGCTGGACTATAGTATTCTCCTGTGATTAAATCTATGTCATTAATTCTTACCTGGCAAACTGGAGGTGTGGGTTTACCCACGGCTGGAAATAGTTCATCAGCCGTGCTTTCTGTAACATTTCCAACATGGCTCTTGCAAAGGAGTATACCTGAAAAGTATTAGTTTTTGAGAGCGCTGATGGATGAATGAGCAGTTTGGAAACAGAATATAACTTTGTGTGTGTAAATAAACGAAATTTTTTATGATATTAAACCAAGTTCGTAGCTGTGACAGAAACAGCGATACTTGTAGACCGAACAGGTAGCATTTTCCCTCCCATCTGGTGAGGATTTTACTACTGCTAGCGATAGGATATCGTTTAGTATCTTTAGTTTAAGATACGAGATAAAGTCTGTGAATAATGTTGTCATAACATTTGGTGAATTTAATGTTAAATGCTGTTAAAGGCTATGTTTTTCATACCTACGTTCAGAGACCTCAAATGCAGGAATCGTGCATGTATTTATAGTTTGACTCCCCGTCTTGGAATGATGCATTAGCTCGTCTCTTTTTCTTGTTCCCCCCCAACAGCAGTATTGAGCCCAGGCTGCTGTGGGAGAGAGTGGAGAAACTGGTGCCCAGGCCCGGCAGTGGCAGCTCCTCGGGGTCCAGCAACTCAGGATCCCAGCCCGGGTCCCACCCTGGGTCTCAGAGCGGCTCCGGGGAGCGCTTCAGAGTGAGATGTAGGGTGGCTTTCTTTTTCCCTTTGCCCCTTAGCAATATTGGGCTAGACCAGTGTATTGGAAGTCTTTAATCATGGAAAAATGCCTGTGGTTTGCATACAGCTGCACATCACAAAACAGTGTTCCACTCTAGGTTGATAATAACACTGAGAGTAATCATAACTTTAATAATAAATAACTGTTTTTGAGAGCTTACACGGGCCTAGCACTGTGAGCACTTTACATGCATCATCTCATTTAATCCCCACAGGAGCCCCAAGAGATATATATTATTGTATCCCGATTTCACTGATTAAAGAAACCATAATTTAGTGATATGAAGTAACTTGTGAAAGGTAATCAGCTAAATGTCAGAGCTGAGAATTGAACCCACTTCTTTTAGACTCCAGGACCTGTACTGTCATCAGTATTGGTGGTATTAACTTATAGTAGATTAGTAAAAATGCCCTCTATGATGTTATTGACATAAGATAGCTAGGCATTGATTGTGGACACATGATAAGCAGACTGTGATAGCGGAGGATTCTAAGTAAGGAATCAGAAGGACTGCCAGAGATCTCGTAGGTCCCCCTTTGGCCCTGCCGTTCAGGGCAGGGGTGGAGAGAAAGGCAGCACAGGGCTGGGTAGGCTCGAACGGTGTTGTAGCACTTCGGATAAAGTCACATGTGTCTGCCTTTCTCTGTCTCTTCTGACCCGACCAGCATCGTCCAAATCTGAAGGCTCTCCGTCTCAACGCCTGGAAAACGCAGCGAAAAAACCCGAAGATAAAAAGGAAGTCTTTAGACCTCTCAAACCCGCTGTAAGGATTACGTAAAATCAGTTTTACTTATTTCAGGATTGAGTGAGATCTTTTTGTTAAAAATAAGTAGTCGAGAGGCCTGCAGCCCTTTTTGTTAGCCCCCTTAGCAGATTTGAGGAATGAGAAGGAATGGCCTACACCCCAGACACATTCGGGACTCCCTGCCTTACTTACTCAGTTTTGTCCTGCAGAAAGCACCTGATAGAATCTTTTTTCTAGTGTTTCAGCTGTTCATTTTGTGTACAGTCAGCCTTGTATAGAAGCACAGTACAAAATGTGGTTTTTGTTTAATGAAAGTTTCTTCTAAGAAAATATGCACTTAAAAACATACGGGGAGCCTTGGTGGCACAGTGGTTAAGAGCTCAGCTGCTAACCAAAGGGTCAGCAGTTCAAATACACCAGCCACTCCTTGGAAACCCTATGGGGCAGTTCTACTCTGTCCTGTAGGGTTGCTATGAGTCGGAATCGACTCGACAGCAACAGGTAAAAACACACAGAAGAAAGAAAAGCCTTTTTATCTGTTTCCTTGGCATTAACCTTCACTCATTCTTGATGAGTTAGGCATTTACAATACCGGCTTTTAGAGTAATTTTTTTAAATCACCTTCTTAACCTGTTGCTGAAATGCTGCCTTTTGGTACCTGGGGTGATAGCTGTGACTGCTTCTCATACTTTTGCTTTAATCCTTGTAATATTAACTGGCCATGTAACTACGCATTTGTGGGATTTTAAGTCTATCAGAATTTTGATTTCCTGCTTGAATTGATTTCTTTGCTTCTTCCCTCTCTTCTCTTTCTGCCACGCTTCTTCCTACTGTGCCTTCTTCATCAATGATGACTTCCTGGACTCGGTGAAACCACGACTGTACTGAAGGGTGAAGTGGTAAGCCCCATGTCTGAAGAATTCTGCATCAGACCAACATCCCAACTGCCTTTTAAACTTAGCTTCTCTTCAGCTTACGTTTCTTGTCTTTCCTCTACTTGCTGTTTTTTCCTTTTCTACAATTTCAAAACTAAGCTTTTGCTTCAGCTTTTTTTGACACATAAAATTTGTTACGTGAATTTTTTTTTAATTACTGAATACATCTTTTGAGCAACTTCTTAAAAAGCTACAGCTGTAATCATGAAACAATAGCAAAGCCCAAGATCTAGTACTTGATCACTATTACTTCAGAGGCGAAAGCTCAAAGACACAAAGCTGTTCTTAACTGTGGAAAAGAAGACAAATAAGTTGGAACTACTAAAAAAGAAAAAAAAAATAGCAAGATAGCCAGCTTTTTAAAAAGTCATTATTTTAAAATAAAATTCCCAAGTAGATGTACTTTGGACTTTTATATAAAAATGTGGAGTAGAAGTAATAATCCGTCTTGAAAATTATGTTTGGCTAATTGATCGAGTCTTAAAGTGTCTCGATACAGAACAGTGAGGGAAAAGGAAGCCCTTTAAAAATAACTTTTACTGTGGATTTTTTCTGTTTCTAATGCCCACAGTCATTGAAGGTGTTATGGGGAAATGGGAGGAAGACATGTGGGTGGGACACAGTAAAGACCACCTCGCCTCCTGCCCACAGCGGTCACCCACTTCGTCATCAACTTTTTGAATGAATGTGGCACGTTGTTATCAGTTGGCCAGACAAGATGTGTTGGATGGTACACTAGCGCTCACTTCTTCACTTCCACATTTTCTATAGGCTTGAAGCATTTCAAAATAAAAGTTGGAGGTAAAAATAAAAACTTAAAAAAATAGTACTTTAAAGTGAGCCCGTTTAATTAGAAGCTTGCTTTCTGGGTAATCCCCTTAAAAGAAGACTTTGTCCTCTAGGCAGCATCTTTACAACAAAGTCCAAGCATCTGTCTACATGATCTAGAATGATATATTTGGAAAAAAACTCTATCAGACTATCGTAAGCAGATTATTGTTTTGTGTTGTTGTGGGGTTTGACCTGTATTCAACATCTTTGACCGTCTTTTCCATCAAAAGCTGTAAGAGCTGACCTTCATATGAAACTCTGGTGGATGCTCTCAACACAGTTTTACAAAACTGACACCATGGCTCTGTCCCTCTTAGTTACAGTGAAGGGCTTCTCCTTCTTTGCGGTTTTCTCCCCCTCCTTTTTCCCTTCCTTATTCCCGCTCCTCTGCCCTGTGCCTTAGGATCTGACGGCACTGGCCAAGGAGCTTCGAGCAGTGGAAGATGTGCGGCCACCTCACAAAGTGACCGACTACTCCTCATCCAGCGAGGAGTCGGGGACGACAGATGAAGAAGATGATGACGTGGAGCAGGAAGGCGCCGATGATTCCACCTCAGGACCAGAGGACACCAGAGCAGCGTCAGTCCCTGGTGTATTTTAGAGAGGACGCGGGTGTTCCTCCTAGCCCTCTTCTGACATTTCTTCCTAGACATGTTTCCCTGAGCATGTAACATTCGTTTATCATGGATTAAGCAGCAGACAGCCTTTGATTTTCACCCCTTCGCTTCATGTGTAACCCATGTGTATTTCATTGCCTCCCTCAATACCCAACATGTACTTTGTTTTTTCTTTGTAATTTCAGGCTGTGATAACAGAGAAATTTCAGTTGGGTTTAACTATTTTAATTAACTCTAAGTATTCTTAAGTTTTTGCTCAAAAACAAACTGAGCTGACAGGAAATTCCTTGTTAAAAGGAAAAGGTTAAGCCCTTGCTTTTCTTGAGGGAACTTATAACCTAATCTCACCTTAGGACTTTGAGAAGGTGAACGATTCTAACAGCATGTCCGTGACCTGTGGGATTTTGGCCCTCAGCTTCTGGATTTTTGTCTCAATAGGTCATCTCTGAATTTGAGCAATGGTGAAACGGAATCAGTGAAAACCATGATCGTCCATGACGACGTAGAAAGCGAACCTGCCATGACCCCGTCCAAGGAGGGCACCCTCATTGTCCGCCAGGTACTTCCGTCTTCTCTGTCGTCAGAGGCTGAGCTCTTCTGTAGTCATTAACCCACTTGCTCATTCACTCACTCATGCTGTTTCTCCATCATCATCTGTTTCCATGTTAACAAGACCCAGAGGGTAGCGTGTCCGGGGGCCAGGGAGGCAGGTGTGTGCTGCATGCTGAGAAGTTAGCTGGTAGTCTTCCACCCCATGTTGCTGCTCCTCTGCATGTTGTCCGGCAGCCGTCATTCAGGTGCCACGCGGAGTCTCGCGGTCTGTGTCTGAGTGGTAGGAAGGCCACAGGGAGCCCTTACACAGACTCACAGAGCTAGGCAGCCAGCCTGGAGTCGGCAGCAGAGCACCCATGCTTGTCCTGCACAAAGCTTCCAGCTCTGAGCATCTGCACAGTGCCGCAGTGGGAGCGATGGTTAGGCAGAAGCCGCTAAAGTGTGAATGAGCCTCATCACACTCCCAGAGATAGACTTCTAGAGTGGGAGTGGTGGGAGGTCTCTCTTCTGTGGGCCAAAATGTTAGTTTCCTCACATGTTGGATAATTGAATGTGTACCGCCCAGATGTGCTCAGTTTGGATTACTGAGTGTTACAACTGTCTGTCCATTTCTCAGCTTAAATTTCACAAAGGTGTTACGCTTCTTACTTAAATAGAACAGGGCTCCAGTCTAGCATTGGGATTTTTCCCCGAGTGGGTTTGTCGCTATGGCCACGTATTTGGATGGAAAGTGGGAAGAACATGGAAGAGACCAGGATTCAAAGAAGCAGCAAGGGTGCTTTCTAGAGCTTTAAACAGAAACATTAAACACAGTGGGATAATAGTTTTGGTGTGGCAGATAAACGAGAGTAAACGGTCCCTGCTGGAGTTGTTCGGCCACCAGATGGCGTACTTTGAATTCTGTTGGGTCAACATAGGCCGACAGTCAGAAGGCGTGAGCAGCTCAGACAATTTCCCCTGGCTTCTCCTTGATAACGTAGCACAGTTGGAAAGCCGCATGGCACTGGCCACCGAGTCAGTTATCAATAGGGTCATAGGCAATTTCAGCAGCACTTGAGCGAGACAAGTGTGCCTGTTTTTTCTGCAGAGTACAGTTGACCAAAAGCGTGCCAGCCATCATGAGAGCAATGGCTTTGTGGGTCGCATTCACCTCTTGCCAGATCTCTTACAGCAAAGCCATTCCTCCTCCACCTCCTCCACCTCCTCCTCCCCATCCTCCAGCCAGCCGACACCCACCATGTCCCCACAGACACCCCAGGACAAGCTCACTACTAATGAGGTATGTCTCCACCACAGCTGGCTGCTTTCTTAGGGTTAGACCAGCACTGCCTAGTTGCTCTTTTGCGGAGGAGAGCTTTCCAGCGCCCCTCACCCCTTCCTGCCCACCCTGCTTTCTTCTGTCACCTCCCCTTCCCCCCAACCCCCAAGTAACATGTTCAGATCTGCATACAGAGCCCTTAACCTTAGAGCAGTTTCCCTCCAAACTTGCCAGCTCACTGTTGACTTTCCTCTAGAGGAGTCTAGTTGCATGGCTTCTTTTATTCAATTTATTTTTAAAAACTATCAGTAAAAGAATTGCTGTGTTCTCAGACCCAGTATGAATTCGGCATGAAATTCTCCTCGTCATTTGTGGAATCCGCCTTTTTCATTTTGTTTTATTATTATTTTCTATCCAACAAATAAAGGTCAGGAGGATTTGGTTAAGCAGACTCGGCCTTATCTGGACAAACTCGTTGTCCTATACAGGGATCTCATGTTAAGCAAGAAGGGCAGAAGCCTGTGAGTGCTTCTCATTTAAAATTTTGTACGGGAAATCCCGCGTGCTTGTTGGAAGGCCTGACTGTCCTGAACAGCCGTGTGCTAGCTGGGTGGTCCTTGCTCTTTGGAACAGGGTTGTGCCCCAAGAAAAGTGCCTAATCCCACCTTGAGCGCCCTCTACTGGAGCAAACGATTCCATTTCACAGGAGGTTTGAAACAAATGATGCATTTCCCGAACAGCTGAGGGAGGTTGAAACTGACAAGTAGCTTCAGCCAATCATGTCATTGAAAAGGTTGAACTGCCCACCCGCTCCTGTTTTGGTTCCCTTGTTGGAGAGAATCAGAATAACCCTCTCAGCTTCAGGAGCAGGGGCAAGTCGACTGCTTCCAAGGCAGGGTTGGCATCAGATTGGCCATCAGCTGGATTGGCCACTAACTCATGGTTCTGGGGAGGGAGGCCTGCAAGGAGGCAGGGTTGTCAGGTGAGGAGAGCGCAGCCTGGTGAGCTCAGGTGGGCAGGGGCTGAAGCAGAGCGTGGACCTCCAGGTGCCCATGGGGGAGAGGGGGCGGAACGGGGCAAGACGAAAGTCACTTAATCAGACATTTTCTTTTTTCTCCAGTGATATATCTCACCTACACTCACATTGCTCCTTGTATTTATATTTTAAACTTTCCTCCATTTGGCTCTGACGTACGGTGCCTTTACTATAACCCTTAACTCACTAAACTAGAAAGTTTATCTTTGTTTGTTTTGCTTTAATCGTCATTACATTTTCACTTAACAATTTGTTTCACTCTGTGTTTTTTCCTTTCCTTTTTTTTTTGTCTTAAGTTACATTATTAACTGAAACACTAGTGCTCCTAGAAGAACAGAAGGATGAGCCTTGTTTTGTCCTTTGCAGCGGTCACTGTGAGCCCTTGTTTGGTATGGGTTTCGTGGTTACTGTACCTGAAACAGTAGCCAGAGCTTCTGTAGCTTTCTAACAAGCGGCTCAATTTAAAACAAGTAACTTAAACTGAAGATCTGCCAATATTCCGACATAGATTTATTGGATTTTTTGTTGTTGTTCAAGAGATAAAATTAAAAATTGGTGAATTGAGGTCAAAACATTCAGCCCTCCTTTAGAAGTTTTAATTATAATTTTTTTTTTTTTTTTAAGCTAGGTGCTTGAAATACAGATTGTTTTAGTAGCTTGCAACATTTCTTGCTGGGGGTGATAAATACCTATCTCAGAAGAGATGTGACTCTTGCAGCGGTTCCAGGTTCAGGGACCTGTCCCTGGGCATGTGGGATGCCCCCCTCGGAGAGCCCTGAATGCATTTTGGGGAAACGACACAGGAGATGCAGGGGCTGTGTGTTGGGGACTCAGTATAATATAGAAGTGGATTGAAAATGTTTTTTCTATTCATCTTTTAATGTCATTTGTATTAATAAAATTGAAATTTACATTGCAGACTCAGTCCGCTAGTAGCACACTCCAGAAACACAAATCTTCCTCCTCCTTTACACCTTTTATAGACCCCCGATTACTACAGATTTCTCCATCTAGTGGGACAACAGTGACTTCCGTGGGTAAGTAAAGTAGCAACAAGAAAGAAGCTGGAAAGCAGGACTCACTCACTTTGAGTTGCCCTTGAAAGTGGCTTAAGCATGGCGTGGTGACTGATCGCAGGCAGACTTCACATACAGAAGCTGTTCCCGTCACGCTTGTATTCCCTTATTTGCCATGAACTGCATAGTCAATTTCCTTTTTCCATATACATTACTTATAAATTTCTTTTCCTTAACAAAGTATTGGTCGTGGCATACAAATATTTACTTGGATAAAGCGTGGGAGGGAGGCACGGTGTTTGCGTGTACAGGAGATGATTTCCAGTGTGCTCTGTTTTAGTGGGATTTTCCTGTGATGGAATGAGACCGGAAGCCATAAGGCAAGATCCTACCCGGAAGGGCTCAGTGGTCAATGTGAATCCCACCAACACTAGGCCACAGAGTGACACCCCTGAGATTCGTAAATACAAGAAGAGATTTAACTCTGAGATTCTCTGTGCTGCCTTATGGGGTAGGTATCTTGCTGTTTCTCTGACCCTTTTGTTTTTATTCTGAGCAAGATGGGCTGGTACTGTTTTGAATAGCTTGGGGATTTTTTTGGAGGGTTGTTAACAGGTAAAATGGAAATTTTTGGTAGAAAACTGGAGACAGGAGGAGAGTTTCTGTGAGCGGAGAGGCCGGGGGATGTGCTTTTATATGTTCCTGATAGAGATGACGTTTGGAGCCATAAGAAGGACTGCAAACAGAGCCACGGTGGCCTGGGGGCAGAAGATGAACAAATAGAAAGTAGAAGCGATTACATAGGGAAAGTTGGGGAAGCGTTAGCATAGCACGCAGAGAATCAGGCCCTGGACGCAGTTTAAGAAGATGGCATGGTGAGCAGCATTAGAAACTACAGAAGTCAGAGAGACTGAAGACTCCAGAAAGCCCGCCTGGCTTGGCCGTTAAATTGTTGGTGACCACTGACAGCAGTCCTCCGGTGCATTGATGGAAGAGGAAGAAGGAACATCGCAAGGTGTTTAGTGGTGGAGCTAATGCAGAATTTCTAAAGGAAGATGGGGCCATTTAAAAAAAGAATTTGGGAAAAAGGGAGAGAGCCAAGATAGTAGTTCCAGAAGTAGCAGGGGCTGGGTAGGTTTATATCAGCAAGAAATGACTTCTGATTATGCAGAAATTGAGGGGAAGGAGCTGGTGAAGCATGGAAGGCTGCCCGAGGTCAGGATGAGCATGTGCAAAGATGTGATCTGTGGCCTGGAGGGGTTGACATTAGAGAGGGGGAGCGCAGGGAGGGAGCGGACGAGGATGTAGGTGCAGGGTTAATGTTAAAGGACAGTGAAGCGTATGAGCAGCTCAGGTAGGTTGGTCTCCGTCCTCTTGAAGTGGATCGGGCAGTGTAGGCCCACTCTTGGCTGAGCAGCTCTGAGGGGCAGAGATCTAGCTGGGCAGAATGCACGTGCTGCTCTGGTAAAAGGTACGCTATTTCAACAGGAGTTGGAGACGGAGACCCGCACTGTGTGCCTGCTAGTGGACTTTTAATGGGGGACTTGTATCAGATCAGAGCCCTGGTGGCGCAGTGGTTAAGGCTTGGCTGCTAACCAAAAGGTCGGCAGCTCACATCTACACAATCCCTGCTATTGAAGCATACTTTCTCAAAAGGGAGCTCATTTGTTTGCTGGCCGTGCCGATCCTGTTCAACATGTTGCTGTAAAAAAATCAGCATAACTTGCTTAAGAAAATTGGGGGGAGAGGGGTGGCTGGCAAACAAGCGCAGATGGTCTCGTTAATTGGCATAAAAATACGATATATCCTGTGCTTCCCTCTCATCCCATCTACATGAAAATACTGACTGAGCGGTTACTTTGAAAGCACACATACTTTACCCTATGTCTCGGTGAGTTTAGTGCCCAGTTTAGGGGATGAATACAAATACGTACATGCACAGTCTCCTAGGACCATGAGGTAATCTGTACCGCATGCTACAAAGCGGGTATTGACCCTTGGTCGTAGACCAAGCCAGCAGGTAATTTGGGGAAATGAGTAAATGATGAAGTGGGAGAGTTGGACTCAGAGCGGAGCATCTCGGATGCTGGACTGAGGCCTCTGACCTTCTCCTGCCAGTTGGTGAAGAAGCTGCGGCATGACTCAGCGAGTATTTTAGGGAGAGTGGGATTGTTACTGATGTGCACATCAGAAGAAAGTAGAGAGAGACAGTTGTTAACAATTTCAGTTAAGATCTCTGTCCATCAGGTATAAGATCACAAAAGCCTGAAGTAGAGTGAGAACAGAGGGAAGGGAAAGCAAGTGATGGAGAAGAGGGGGCGTTATCTGGTTTTGGTGGCTCGTTTGACTAGTTTTGAAGAGGAGTTTTGGAGGGGGTGATGCTCTTGGTACCAAAACAAAAAGCCAAACCCGTCACTGTCAAGCCGATTCCGACTCATAGTGACCCTACAAGACAGGGTAGAACTGCCCCATAGGGTTTCCAAGGAGCGGCTGGTGGGTTTGAACTGCCCACCTTTTGGTTAGCTGCTGAGCTCTTACGTGCTGTGCCACCAGATGCTCTTGATAGCAATGGCAGATGTTGGGAAGTGTCAGTAGAAATCTGTAGCATGTAGAAAAGTGGAGGAGGGGTGGAATTCAGAGTTGGTGGTTCAGAGGCTCTAACAGAGCATAGGTAGGGGTGTGCCATCAGGAAGATAAACACAGCAGAGGAGACAGCTGTATTTAAGAAGCCGAGAATGTGCATGGGGACAGGAAGGAGACTTCGGTAAGCAGCTGGAGAACAGTGGGAAGACAGCACCTGGCCAGGAGAACCAAGGTGGGTCAGATGAGGAGGGCACCCGTAAAGTATTTTTAAGAGATTGAGGGTTAAAGAGGACTGAGCGCAGTTCCTTCTTGGGATTTGATGTTGATGGAGAGTGGTCTTTGAGAAAAGCATAAGCTGAATGATAGAAGCCAAATTATAGGCTGTTAAGCGTTTGAGAGGGGCTGTATGTACATAGGGAACCCTGGTGGCGGAGTGGTTAAAAACTACGGCTACTAACCAAAAGGTCGGCAGTTTGAATCCACCAGGCGCTCCTTGGAAACCCTATGGGGCAGTTCTACTCTGTCCTTTAGGGTTGCTATGAGTCAGAATCGACTTGATGGCAACCGGTTTGGGATTTTTTTTTCCCCAGTGGTGTAGTGGTTAAGTGCTGTGGCTGCTATCCAGAAGGTCAGCAGTTCGAATCCAACAGCTGCTCCTTGGAAACTGTGGGGCAGTTCTGCTCTGTCCTCTAGGGTCGCTATGAGTTGGAATCGACTCAGCAGCAATGGGTTTTTTATATGTATATATGGAGCCCTAGTGGAGCAGTGGTTAAAAGCTCAGCAGCTAACCAAAAGGTCGACAGTTTAAATCCACCAGCCGCTCCTTAGAAACCCTATGGGGCAGTTCTGCTGTGTCCTGTAGGGTTGATTTCAGTCAAAATTGGCTCAGTGGCAATGAGTTTTGGGGATTTTTTTTGTTTTTCATTGGTTTCTGATATAAATATATATATGAGGAGGGACCAGTCCCTGAAGAAGGACATCATGCTGGTAAAGTGGAGGGTCAGCGAAAAAGAGGAAGACCCTCAACCAGATGGATTGACGCAGTGGCTGCAGTAATGGGCTCAAACATAGCAGTGACTGTGAGGATGGCACAGGACCAGGCAGTGTTTCTTTCTGTTGTACATGGGATTGCTGTGAATTGGAACCAACTTGACGGCACCTACCAACAACAACATATATGTAGCCCTAGGAGCCCTAGTGGTGCAGTGGTTAAAGTGCTCAACTGCTAACCAAAAGGCTGGCAGTTCAAACCCACCAGCTGCTCTGTGGTAAAAAGATGTGGCAGTCTGCTTCCCGTAAAGATTACAGCATAGCAAACCCTAGAGGGTGGTTCTGCTCTGTCGTATAGGATCACTGTAAGTCAGAATCGACTCAGTGGCACACAACAACAACATACGTAGCTCAGGCCCTGGGTGACACAAACTGTTTGTGCTCCATTGCTAACCCAAAGGTTGGTGGTTCGAACCCACCTAGTGGGTCTGTGGAAGAAAGGCCTGTTGATCTGCTTCCACTAAGATTACAGCCAAGACGTCTAGGGTCTTAAAAGCTAGTGAGCAGCCATCTAAGATGCATCCGTTGGTCCCAACCTACCTGGAGCAAAGGAGAATGAAGAACACCAAAGACACGAGGAAAATATTAGAGACAGAAAGGGCCACGTAAACCAGAGACTCCATCAGCTTGAGACCAGAAGAACTAGATGGTGCCCGGCAACCACCAGTGACCGCCCTGACAGGGAACACAACAGAGAGTCCCTGATGGAGCAGGAGAAAGGTGGGGTGCAGAACTCAAATTCTAGTAAGAAGACCAGACTTAATGATCTGACAGCCTGGAGGGACCCCAGAAGACATGGCCCCCGGATTCTCTGTCAACCCAGAACTAAAACCATTCCCGAAGCCAACTCATCAGACAAAGATTAGACTGGACTATAAGACGTAAAATGATAAGACTAAATGGGCAGCTCCTGTCCAGAGGTGAGATGAGAAAGCAGAGAGGGTCGGGAGCTGGTTGAATGGACACGGAAAATCCAGGGTGGAAAGGAGGAGTGTGCTGTCACATTGTAGAGAGAGCAACTAGGGTCCCGTAACAATGTATGTATAAATTTTAGTATGAGAAACTAACTTGAGCTGTAAACTTTCACTTAAAGCACAATTTTTAAAAAAATTACAGCCAAGAAAACCCAGTGTAGCAGTTGTGTTCTGTAACTCGTCGGGGTGCCGTGAGTCAGAACCGACTTGGAGGCAGCTGTTAACAGCAACAGACCGTAGCTCATTCCAGTTCGCCAATGAGAAAACGAGTGAAGGGGGCAAGAGAGGCTGAGGCATCAGATGATGGTCTGTCCAGGTCTCTGATGAGGCTGAGGATACGCAACGTTTGTAAAGCCAAAGAGATGATACGCTTGGAACATTCTGAGGGAACCGAGGAAGAGCTGAAAATTGATGGATTATGAAAGAAATTGAGGGGCTGAGGCATCTTCCTTTTTCCCGCTCGTTTTCTTCTTTCATATTTAAATTTATATTTAAATATTTAACCATCACCGTTCTCGACCGTGATAATGGTGATTTGTCGCAAGGGTGTTTGCTTTAACCTTTCTGGGTGAATTAAGAAAACCAGATTTACTGGCCTAAAGGAGACTGGAGAAACCCCAAGAGTATGGCCCCCAGGCACCCTTTTAGCTCAGTGGTGAAGTCACTTCTGAGGTTCACCGTTCAGCCGGGGAGTGGACAGCCCCATAAAACCAAATGGGACTAATGAGGCACAGCAGTCCAGAGACAAGGGTTGGAAGGCAGAAGGGGACAGGAAAGCCGGTGATAGGGAACCCAAGGTTGAGTAAGGACAGTGTTGATGTGAGGTTGCTAACCATTGTCATAGGGCAACATGTGGACTGTTTAATGAGAAACTATTTTGTTCTGTAAACCTTCATCTAAAGTGAGAATAGCAAGCAGCACAATTGGAAGAGCGTAGTCTATGTCACTGAACTGTGCATGTAGAAGTTTTTGAAATGTTGTATCTTTGGCTATGTATGTTTTCACCAAAAAAAAAAAAAAAAGGTTGAGAATTTAGAGGGTTAGTATGTTGTGGGGTTGTTAACCAGTGTCATAAAACAACATGTGTACT